CAGACAGCCTCCTAGAGGGTGAGAGCAGGGTGCAGTGCCCCAGGACTGGAATCTCAGCTACTCTGCAGGCCCGAGGCAGAAGGATAGACCCAAGGCCAGCCTGGGCTACAGATGATGGAGAGTGAGGCTCACTCAAGGGCAGGTGTCCCTGTGGCCACTCTCAGGAGAGTGGCGCTCTACAGCATTTTCTCTGTTTTCCCTCCTCTGACCTGCTTAGTTAGCTTCAAGTTAGAGGATCCTAACAAGGGCTTCAGAGGGCTGGAGAGGTAGCTTTGTGGTGAAGAACGTTGACTGTTCTTGCAGAGGACCTGGGTTCAGTTCCCAACACCTACATGGTGGCTCACACTTTTAACTCTAGTTTCAGGAGATCTGACGCCCTCTTCTGGCCTCCATGGACACTGCACACACATGCTATATAACCTATATGCAGACAAAACACTTACACACGTTAAAAAAAAGTCCTCAAAAACACGCACAGGGAAGACAAGGATAGTGAGATTTTTGATTCTCTCCTCTTTGTTTCTTTCTCCCTCCCTTTTTTTATTTCCTTTTCAAATGGTTCTAAGCCATTTGAATGATAGCCACACCCCCACCCCTTCACTGGGGGATTCTAGGCAGGGGCTCTACCACTGAGCTACACCCCAGGCCCTCACTGGGGGATTCTAGGCAGGGGCTCTACCACTGAGCTACATACATCCCAGCTTGCTTTTTACTTTTTGGTTTTCAGATAGGGCAACTATTAAGTTGCCAGGACTATCCTGAACTCCTGCATCCCAAGTCAGGCCTTGAACTTTTATGCCTCCTTCTCCTTAGTAGCTGGGTTGACAGGTTTGTTAGCCCCTTACTGCCCTCAGTCCAGGAAGCAGGAACAAGGTGTGTGTGTGTGTGTGTGTGTGTGTGTGTGTGTGTGTGTGTGTGTACACTCAGGTATCAGGGTAGAGAGCTAGCCTGTATTCTAAGGGACCAGCAACATAGCCGTGAGTGGGATAAGAACCAAGTTGAGCCTGCTGCCCTTTGGGGTGAAAACTTTCAAGGGACAGAAATAGACACAGGCAGAGGCCACATGTGGTTTTGCAGCCACAGGCCCATACATTTCAGATCCAAACCATAGTACAGGAGAACTAACATAGAGACGTACTGTTGCTTGCTATTAAGTTCTGTTTTGTGTTAATGATTTTTCTGTCTTCACGAGGATCTAGATTGACAGCAAAATGGAAGCTCATTGCCAAGCCTGGAGAAGCAGAAAAGTCTCTTGTCTCTTGCCTGTTCCCTCGTGCCTCCCTCTCTGGTGGTACTGTGTTGCCTACAGCAAGACATTGCTTCTCATGTTCGTGGAATTTACAAAGGAACCCCTTAGCCCCATGCTGCATGCTGAGTGGAGCAGGCAGGCACATGACCAGAGCTCTGGTAGTCTTTCCTGGCATTGGGTAGATGTGCTTCAAGTCAAGTTCCAAAAGCAACTTCCAGTTTTGCCTCAGAGACACAAAATTAGATCCCGTCGTTGTGTTGGGCAGCACCCTAGCTGCCGGAGTTGGGCCCAACTGGGTTACAGCATCATTTATTTCGTAG